GGTCCTCGGAAGCAAGTATTTTCGTCCAAACATAAGCGCACAGCGGGGTCACAACCCCGCTGCCACAACCCCGCTGTGGGGTGTCTACTTAGCCGAGCGGCCCCCCTGACTCCGCCCCGGGGGTCCGCTGTGGGCGTGGAGCGACCCTCCGACCCCGCTGTGGCTGCTTTTCTTTTCTCTTGAACGCGAGCGACCCCCTGACTCCGCCCCGGGGGTCCGCTGTGGGCGTGGAGCGACCCTCCGACCCCGCTGCGTGGAGACCCCGCTGTGGACTGGAGCGGCCCTCTGACTCCGCCCCGTGACCCTGCTCCGGCTGGTGTTGCTTGCAGCGACCTCTTGACTCCGCTGTGGCTGTTCCGGCTCGCGAAATGACATCTTTGCACTCTCTTTTGGCATATAATTGATCCCAAACACCTCCAAGAACTCCACAACATGTTTCGCCACCTGATAAAGACAAATGAATGCAAAATGCAACCTAAGAGTGCCTAAATCTAATCTATATGCTCAACATGAATAAGAATGCAAGGTTAAAACCAAGTAAATATGCAACATATCACACGCTCTACCCAAATTAAGACAACAAAAAAGATGAAACTATTTTTTTTAAAGAAAAAGAGGAACAGTAAATATATGAAAGAAAAAAACAGTTGATTGTTATATAGGAATTGGAGCAGTATACGTGGGACTGTGGGAGTTGATAAAAAAAATTCAGAATGTGTGGAAAGTCAAAGTGATTGTTATGAATGGGAGGGGCAGGACAAAGGCAGATCAAGCAGTTTTCCCGCAATAGGCAGTTCTCCTGCCTTATGTTTACCATTCACCATTTTCTGTTTGTAAAAGCAGTTCAAGCGGGAGATCTGCATGCAGTTCAATTTTTTTGTCTTTTAGTAGAAAAAGCAGGAGATCTGCATGCAGATCTCATCCGCTAACATTTGGTGGTGTTGATCTGCCTTTTTTTTTTTCCTTTTACTAATAAATAGTTTTATTACAAACACTTAACTTTAAAATATATTTATTTGATTTTATAAATAATGTACAATTATTAACTCAAACTATATAGTTCACATTAATATTGTTTGTATCATTTTAAAGTTATAAGCATGATGTCTAATCGTCAAAAACACAACAATTTTCACGAAAAATATAAATTTTTCTACATAAGTGTCAGCAAAAAAATAATTATTTTATATTTTAAAATAATTAATAAATAGAAGAAGTATAAGCATCTAATAAAATTTTTACAGACATTTTGGCTGAATATACAACATCTGAAATATTTGTTTTGATATTTGGTGTAATTTTTATTATTTTAATATATGATATATAATGTGAACATATTTTGTCATTTATAATAAATTATTTAACTGTTTTATCTCCATTTTTATATATAAATATTAACAAGGAATTAAATATTAAGACGTGTGTTATTCAAAAATAATTTTAATCAACTAAAACGCTACAAGCATCTTATGAAAAATCCAATAAACATTTAAGCTGATCCTACAACATTTAAATATTTATATTGATATTTGGTATAATTTTATTATTTTAATATATGATCTATATAGTTTTAAACTTATTTTGTCATTCATAATTTATGATAAATTGTTTGATCTGCATCTCTCCTGCTTGATCCGCTTGATCTGCACTTGTCCTACTTTATCTGCACTTGTCCTGCTTGATCTGCATGAACCGCTTGATCTGCACCGCTTGATCTGCTTTTACCATTCGAAGCCAAGTCAAAGTTATTGATCATGTGACTTGTGATTTATTATATAAGGGATATGGCGTGTAATAGACTTAGTACACTTAGATTTTATTTTCAAGTTTGTTTTGTGTTGGTGTAGGTTTCTTTGAATTTTGTTTTAAGTGTTGTCGGCCTATTGATAAAATAGAAGATGGTAAAAAAAAAAACAAGTCTTCAAATCAATAATTAAAATATTTCTAATAACAAGAAAGTTTAATATTTGTTTTAAAATAATAAATTTGATAATTCTAAATTAAATAAATTATATTTCAGTAATTTTAAATGTCACTTTGAACATCCCAATCATAATGTTTACCACTTTTATGAGGTTTCTTTTTGGTCTCCAGCTTCTTGTGGGCTTTGGTAAGATATGTCATTGATTCATTTTGTAAACCTGCTAAACATTATATAATCCCAGTTCCACTAGCAAATAAAAAGGAAAAGTTAAAAACAAAAACAGTTTAACTTGACCAGTCTTCCTAAAAGACTGTGTCTTCAGTAATGATCAGGTTTTTATGTTTTGTATCTTTCCTATTCCTTACGTTACCTTTATCTAACGCTACATCAACATTTCATCTTTACTAAAAAGCAGTTCTCTTGCATCAGTGGATAATCTGCAATTTATTTGCCATTCACATTTTTTGAAGTTAAGAAAGAGAAAAGCAGGAGAACTGCATTTTTTTGTCTTTTTCTGCAAAAAAACAGTTCATCTGCCTGCAGTTTCACCCACTCCTATTTTGGAGTTGTTCACTTGTTCCACTTCCTATTTAACCAATATTTTTTTTTAAAATAAATTAATTTCGAAAATATTAAATTATTATCTATAAATATAATTATTTATTAGTTCTATATTTCAAAAAGGGGTCTCGTGTTTTGATATAGAGTTTGTTTATTGTACTGAAAATTATATAATTATAATTATAAAATAAAATAGATTTTAATTCATACATATTAAAAACAAAGATTATATATTAATAATTTCATAAAACTAAATTTAGTATAAAAATATTCATATAATTAGTGTAAAACAGAAGTAAAAGTAAATATATCCCCTATTAATTAATGACACTAAATTTTTTTTTCCTAACAACTTTTGTGTAAATATATATATATAATTATGAATGTAATTATTATTAATATTACATATATTTATGGATATATCAAAATATTTCATTAAATTATTTTATTTTTGTTTGTGTATTATTTATATATAATGTGTTTGATATTTTGATGTTATTTTTATATTTAAACATGTGATTTACAGTTTTGAACCGTTTTTGTCATTCATAATTATAATAAATTAGTTGATCCGTTTGATCTGCATCTCTCCTGCATGATCCGCTTGATCTGCATCTCTCCTGCATGATCTGCTTGATCTGCATCTCTCCTGCATGATCCGCTTGATCTGCTTGATCTGCACCGCTTGAACCGCTTTTACCATTCGAAGCCTAAACTCCAACGGCTAGTTCCCAAGTCCCTTTAAAAACCACACAAGATTCTCTTTAAACTCTTCGTCTCCAACACCTAGACACACACACCCACACAACTCAGTAGAAAAGTATTAGAAACCTATGGCTTCTTTTTCTTCTTCTTCTTCTCTTCGGGTAATCATCTTCCTCTGCATCTCATTCTTCTTCTTATCATCAGTAAATGCAAACGAGGTTACAGTCGGTGGCAAATCCGGTGACTGGAAAATCCCACCTTCCTCTTCTTACTCATTCAACGAATGGGCTCAAAAGGCTCGTTTCAAAGTCGGCGACATTCTCGGTACACCTTCACTTTCTTTTTGTATTCTTGGATATTAGTAACTCTGTTTCTGACATACTGTCACATGTTTGTTCCAGTTTTCAGCTACGAAGCAGGTAAAGACTCGGTGCTGCAAGTGACAAGAGAGGCATACGAGAAATGCAACACCACGAGCCCTAAAGCCAGCTACACTGATGGCAACACCAAGGTGAAGCTAGAACAACCAGGTCCTGTCTACTTCATCAGTGGTAAAGAGGGTCATTGTCAAAAGGGTCAGAAGCTACGCCTTGTTGTAGTCACTCCTCGTAACTCTGCTTTCTCTCCTGCTCCTTCACCATCTGACGGTCCTGCTGTTGCTCCTACTAGTGGTGCTGCTAAGCTCACCGGTGTCGCTAGCCTTGTTCTTGGATTCTGGATGCTAATCTATTTTTTATTTTTGTAATGAGTTCTTTTCTATTTATTAGTTTTCGAACATGAGGGCATAGATCTTTGTTCTCTAACTAGTCTTGTTGTTACTAATTTAGTTTTTACAAGATTAAATTAATTTTATTCATATAATCAGAATGCCTTCCGCACTTGTTTCCTGATAAGTTTGTGGACCTATCAACAGTTTAAGAACGAATTATAAACAATGATTTAAGATGTTTGGATTAGTTCATACATAAGAAGAATACTTTAGAGTGATGCATTGGCATGCAGAACAGTTATGTGATGTAAAGTGTTCAAAACATAACGTTGTGTAAATGTCATATTATTTTGTTTGTGTTTACATGATGATACCTTCTTTAAGGCCAACAACATGACAAGTTAATCATTCCTTCTGTATTATTGAAGCTCGTGGGACAAAACTCTGGACGCAGAGGAACTAAACTATAAGACTGTGATATTGATGAGTATTTAAAAGATTGTACACCTTAATCTCTGCATTGACCTCTTTGACTTCAGATGAACAATCTGAATCGATAGAGACAATCCAAACCTGAAACATAATCATAAAAAACATCAAAGGGTCGATCAACAGAACAACCTTAAGTACCCATCTGATCAAGACATAGGATTTGTTGCACGAGATTGCAATCTGGATCAACCAAGTTGCATGTCGACTGAATTGGGCTAGTCAAATATCTTTGATTTATTATCTTTGACAAATCAAGTAACTTGTTCACACAAGAGCGCCTTTAATGATGACACATAACCCTTACAAAAGTTATGTTCGAGGCTTCTGGTTTTGTCTTCGTAGCTCATCCAGTAATGCACCATGTGATTATAATTTCCAATTTTGAACGCAAACAAAAAAAAAACTTGGAGACAACTTTAAGATTTATGTAATACAATACCTAAATACTCTGCAAACCATATTCTGATTTCGTAACTAACATAAACTTGCCAGTGATGATTGAAGCACATTTCACACGCATCAAGAAAACCTATTTGCTGCCAGTTATCGTACATATGTAAGTTTGTAACACACATGTTAATTAGTAGATTGGTTTCTAACAATATGGAAAACGTTGGAACAAAGGAAGCGAGAACTGCATGACAAAAGACACCTGCCGATACAAGAGAGACATAATAAATTAGATATTTCACATGTTTGGTGCAGAATATAAATAACCTCTTATTCTGTCGTAGAAAAAACCTTCATATTCACTCCGAATCATAAGTTAATGATTTATATAAGTATAAATTAAGAATTGGATTGTTTATTTTATATTCAAAATATAACTCGTCTCTGTTTTTCTTAATATTTCAATATATATTTTGATAATAATTAGTAAAATCTATTCTATTAAATCAGGATCGTGAACAATTGATAAATGATATGTAAATTTTTTTACGTCAACAATTATAATTGTTATAGTTAGGTAATTACTAAGAAAATATAAATATTTTGCCAACTTTAGAAATAAAGTTTAAAATTAATTTCTGAAATACATATGACACAAATGTACATTTATGCAACTTGACCTATTTATTATAGTACCAAAAACTATATTTTGTTAAATTAATATTATGACAAATATGATTACCAAGAAAAACATAAATATAAAAATAAAAATTTCTCAAAAAAGATTAAAACTAAAAAGATGTCCGTCCTTTCAAAAGACGGGAAAGGATGGGTTCACTAGCACCATGTACACTTGAGCTTCGATAATCATTTATTATAACTGCTTACTTAAAGTTTCGATACTTTGGACCAGTTCTAGAGATAATATAAACAACTAGGATAAGATCCGCGCCTTGCGCGGGATGAAGTTATTATTTTTTTTATGTTTTGGAAAATGAAATAAAAGTTCGGTTTCATCTAGATCAAGGATATTCAATCTGGATATCGGGTTTCAGTATTTTGGTTATTAAAATATAACTACTATTCCAAATCCATATTTACTTCAGTTTGATTTGGTTTATATATTGGTTTTCAGTTTATTCAATTTTTATACCAAAATACATCATTATTTAGTTTGAAATCATATTATATATTATAAAAATAAATAATATGATCACATTTAGAGTCATATTGTCAAAAAGTCATTTACTAAAAAAATATTATATATTTAACTAAAAGAATAAAAAAAGGCTTCTATAATCTAATAAAATGATCAAATCTAGAATTAATATCAAATCTCTAAATTTTGAAAATAAAAATAAAAACAAAATAGAAGCATGAAAGAAAAGTTTTTATATTCTTCCATATTTAGTGTTCATCAAATTAATTTGTCTTCGATTGAACACAACTCTGTTTGTTTAAAGATTAAAAAAAATTGTAAAGAATTTCAACTAATTGTTGTCCATCAAATTTATAATTTTTACTTCAATTTAGTTTTTACTAAAAAAGGAAAAATATAAAAAAGGGTCGAAGAAAATAAGAAGCCTCAGTTGAATTAAATTTTTAGTTAATTATATTTCAAGTGGTTTACAAATCATAATTATAGTTCAACTCATGTAACAAATAGATATACATATTTACATGTTTCAGTTTAATCGATTATAAATGAAACCATATCCAAATCTTACGGTTTTTGTAAAATCACATACATCCGGTTTCTATGCTAATACAAAAAATAACCATATTATCGATTGCGTTAATATCTTTAAAAATATAAAATTTTTAAAAAAAAGAATTAATATATTTAGATCATTGATAACAAAAAATTTCAATGTGAAAATTTTAATACCTTTATAATTTATAAATGTTCTTGAAAATTCATTGAAATTTTTGAAATTAAAATAAGTATGTAATCTTATATGGTATATAGTTTAATATATATATATATATATATATTTTGTTTTTTATTGAATGATACTTTTTACTCATATGGTTTTAAAATCATGTGTATCTTTTTATAATAAAAATGTTAAACTATTGATCATTAATTTTTAACGTAATAATTTTAATAGTTTTAGTCATTTATTCTTGTTTTTTTTAATTCAAAATATAACATATACGAGAAAAAAAATCTAAAGTTTAATTTTATAGCTAACTTGATTGTTTGATTTATTTTAATAATATAAAATTAAAGAAAAATGATGGAGGAGATACAAATTGTTATCAAATATTTATTATTAGAAACATTAATTGTCATATATATATATTTGTCTTTTATGGTAATTCCGTAGCTTTTATTTAAGGAAAGAAAATAAAATAGTAATTATATCTAGCAGGACAATCATAAATGCTTCTATCATAAATATCATATCATATAGTTTGACCAACAAATATATCTAGCGACATATAAAATTGAATGTGGACCTACTTATTTTTCAATTGAATGTAATTGACTACCTAATTGAGTGACACGTAAGCATGGACTCTTTTTTAATTATTACAAAATTGAGGTTACAATTTTTCAAATGTTTCTCAATTAATATATAGGGGATACGTTCCTATCAAACCTATAATAACTTGGATATAGAAGGGTACATGCAACCCGAGTTTCTTGACAGTGACTAGATAGTGTGATCACAACAACCAGTCAACCAGCATGAAAAAAACACTTGCAACGGAGTGAATCGACCAAAAGATGTCTTTTCTAGCATCCTGAAAGGACGAAGACTTTCTAAAAACATATGGTCGATGTTTTGTGAGCTTCTACGTTGTATTTAGGCCCCGCTTGTGCTTTCCTCATTGTTTTCAGTTTTTAATTTTCAGTCTTGTACATCAAAGTTTAGATTGGTTTCTGATCATTTATCTTTGAAGTGCTTCTTCAACTAAGAAGCACAACGGCAATGGAACTTGGTTGTGATGTGATGCACGGGGATATTTTTGAGCTTACTGATAAAGCGACGCCGGACAGTGCTAACCTTGGAAGACAAATTGTGGAACTCATAAGATGAGGTAAGTAAGTCTTTTTCAAAATTCGTCCATTTATATCTTAAGTTTTCGTCTCATTGATTAGAAATGTTTTCAATCTTTCAAGCTTGTGGACCATGTGAAAAGTAGAAAATGCTTTATTTTGGTTTATTGAGAATTTGTGCCGAATTTGGTAGAATATCAAACTGATTTAGTTAGATGGTACTATGGTAGCTACGGGAAATTATTTTTCATAGCTCCAAAAAATGTTCGAGGTAATAATTAATGATTTACACTGAAACACATAGGACACCACACTTCCTGCTTATGAGTGGTAAAGACTAAGCCCATACATATTAACAAAAGAAATGCATATCCGAGAAGATGGAAACACTAGCAAGAGACTAGAGATGAAAACAATTTGCCAATCAAGTACAATTCCTATGAAATCAGCTCAAAGTCATGAGTTCGATTTACAGTTGGAAGAGATCTGCTATTCTAAGAAATTTAGTTTACTATGGTTTGAACTTCATTTCAAAAGATGTATAAATTTTCGGACCAAAATATTGTAATCATTAAAAAAAAGGTCGTAGATAAATCAAAATTTTAATGTAGAAAATCAGATTGTTTCAATTTCTAATGGGAAGATGAAGACTCTCTTCAGTTTGATGGCGATATAGAGCAGGCAAGTGGTTCAAAATCGGCGGAGAATAAGGTTGACGGTGATCAGTCCGGTGGAAGTTCCGGCGAAACCATCGGTTTCTTCTCCATTACTCCAGAGACTTCGATGCTCCAACCAAGAAGGACATGTCGTACATGCATAATTCTGAAAACATATGGTGGAATACGTGTTTTTTTTGGTATTAAACCTAATCTATATATCTTGGGCATCAATTGGGCTATAAAGTTATGTATGGGGATTGGGTTTGGATCGAGGGATTGGGTTTGGATCGAGGTTTTTTTAAGTGATACTTTTTATATAAAATAGAACGAAACAAAATAGACTTTTATGATTCAGGATAGTGAATTATTTTATTATACTGTTACAAAAAGATAATGAATTATTTTATATGTGATTCTCTGATATCGTACTGCTTCATGTGGGACAATTTCCTCTCAAGTGCGGTCCATGAAAGGTCCCAAGAGGCTGA